CCCCCGGCACATGTCGGGCAATTCGTGCCCGTCAGCAGCGTCTAATCCAGCTGTAAGCCATCGAATGTCAGCCACAGACCAGTAGCAAGTGCAGCTAACCAGAGAGATTTGAGATAGTACATTGTACTCTCCGATAGTCAGGCTCTAGTTTGAGAGAAGAACGACTTGTGCGAGGAAAAGGAACAAAGGGAGAACGTAGATTTCCTTTCTATAGTTTCCTTCAGAATGACTACCTTAGGTCGGAGAGTTTCATGATTACTTATATACTACTTCTCCTTCCCTAGGGCATGCACGGGAGATGCAGTGATGTCCATGCCGCTGAGATAATTGGCATGAGAATCCGGGCATTCCATCGAGTACTTCACATTATGTAGAAAAGTAGGAATGAGCCGTAACCTCGAAAATATCTAGTGTGGGAGTCGGTACTGTGCCACTCAGCTCCATTTCAACCAGCTCGGTAGGAATTGGACATTATTACTTACATGACGGACATTTACATTTATAGAAAGGATACGACATGTGGTAGTACTTCGTTGAGAGTTGTAGGGGTTTGGAAATAACATAACTGGCTAGTAGATTATTGGAGCCCCTGTCGCATATGCATTGCATTGTTCGGGATTTCTGCATATGAACTTTATGTGTAACGTTTATGAGCTAATTTTATGGGGAAGTCATAGCAGACAGAGGCTGCGATATGTATATCCTTTTCTTTTCCCCCTTTTCACTATCTTTCTTTTTTGGGTTACAATGCTAGGGACAGCACAACCATACTCGTACGAGGCCTATCGGCATAACTGCGTAGTACTTGAGATGATCGTAGACTAACCACTACGCCTACACCACTTATAACAGTTAAAAGAAGAAGAGTAGGCTAAGAAAAAAAAAAAAAAAAAAAAAAAAAAAAAAAAAAAAAAAAAAAAAAAAGAAAGAAAGAAAAGAAAACAAAAAACCAGATGAAACACCAATAATCCTACGATACTTTGCATGATCACCATAATTTCGGGGAAAGCCGAAAGTGTGGAATAATGTCACAGCCTCCGCGGAGCCGCGCTGAGTTTCCGCTTCGGTATGCTTGGATTGTGGAAAGATCGTTTTATGCTGCAACATCTTGTGGATACATTTCAAGTCCGCGGATCCCAGTATTCTATACTCATATGCACCGACCAATGGTTACCAAGACTACTGAGATTGCATGTGCTAAAACGCCATCTCCAACAACATCCGAAAAGTATTCTCGTTTTCAATACCAGAGATATGCGAGTATGGCTGGTACATATGCATAGATCATGACTACTACGCGCTCGGATAAACTCCTGAATGTACCTGGTAAGTGATTTACTCGGCCTGGAGATCTGGTACAGATCCTAGTATTCCCCACGGATGCAACCCTAGACCAGCACGTTGCTTTGAGCATGAATAAGGGATGTTACATCGATCGAAAGAGCCACCCAAACATCTCACAGATCTGCATCGATACGAGTGGGTGCAAGTGTTACCCACATCGCTGTTTCTACTTTAACTACTTGGTCGTCTGTTCTAGTACCGTGGATATCATCGATGGATGATTGATCTGCCAAGATGCACATTCAATGCCCACGGAGGGTCTACACTGATGATGTACTACATCCGTCTCTTCAATAGAATATAGAAATAGGGTACTAATCCCATAGATCCTGCTCCCATCACTTCGTTTTCAAGAAATTGCATCTGATTCTGGAAACCCCATTACTGCTGCATCTGAAAGCAACCCATAATGAGAGCTCCCTCCATTGTATCGGCACTTCTGTCAGGAGTCCCACCTTCCAATAAAATCATTCCAGATGTACCATTGGCAGCCACAGAGCGTCCAGTCTTTGCGGAAGCAGACACGCACGATAAAGAGGCTTCTGCTCCCGATATGTCCATCGTGAGCCCGTCCGGATTATCCCATCTAGCGGAAGACTCTGTCCCGTTTGTGGCTCAAGCAGCTGCACATCTGCTGTTAATGGAAGCTATGTGGGTATGGAAGCAAAAGGCAACTAGTGGAGAGACTGCCATTGACCTGCTTGCCTTGCTCTCGGCGAACAGCATAGACCTGCAGCCAGACAATGTGAAAACTCCCAATCAGTTACTGGCTGGGCTTATGGAGATTGCTGTTCCTCGATTCTACGCGTGGTGGCACGCAGTTAACCAAAAACTTTCAAATACGATTCCTGAGGAAGGTTTCTTGGAGCTACCAGCCGATCTATTACCTCCTATGGGTAGCTGTTCCTATTTACAAAGACATGCTTTGCACAGGCCCCACTGATACTTGCTCTAGATGTTATGATAATCTGGCATGCGTATATGCTACAGCCTGTTATCTACGAGGACGACTGTTCTCGGCTGGACGTACCTCATATGCGCCGCGTTCTCTTCCCCTGGCAGGCAGTGGTAAGTAAGATGATAAAGAACCGTCTTGAAATGTTAATATTTAGGCTAATTATTCTAGGTTAATGCAATCGACATCAGGACGACCGAATACTGCATCCCTTCTGCTGCCAGAGACTTCTTCGAAAAGTCATCCGGACAATCAGCCGATCTACTTGAAGAGCTCTGTAACAAAACACATCCGCTAGTTTACGATATAAACTGCCCATACTGCCATACTACCAGAAACCTACCAATTATACCCACCGCTCAAACCGAAGATATCAACTATGGCTTCGAGCTAGAATGCGACTGCGGCTACGCACCGTCCGTGGACGCACTCCGCAGCGATCTTCTTCATCTTCGCCAAACCAGGGAGTCCCGACTACGGGGAACATATTCAAATCCTGCTCTCGCTCAAGCATTATATCCCCTATCAAGAGCACTACCACTGCCTATCCTAGAGTCCTGCACTACGCGCGAACGCTTCCTCCAAGCTATCCACACTGCAAGCTACGAAAGCAACACACCAAAATGGGCAGTAGAGACATTGCTATCACTCTACACACCAACCTCCCCAGTGACACAAGCATCATCAGCTCACTACTCCTCAGTACTGCGCGGAATGCGCTTCGTCGATGAGATGCACAAGCAATGCTGGCTGCGTTCACCGGCGCTCTGTGTTCAGTCTCCTACTAATCCATCAAAATTAGTCGGTACCCTGCCACGAGCACAGCAGAAATATCGAAGCTTTCTAAAATCAGCTCGTCCGTCAAGCAATCTATCCGTTACCCCAGCACCAGACGTGGATCTATTCTGGCACACGCATCAGCTCTCTCCGGAACCTTATCGCCGGTTCTGTATTCGACATGTAGGGAAGTCTATGGACTATAGCGATAAACTGATTCATGAAAACCTGAGTAGCTCGTTCAAAGCTACTCAGAAGGCTTACTCGGAGAAATTCAAAGGAGAGTATGATGCTTGTCTTTGTTGGTCGTGCGAGATAGAGCGGAATGACCAAGAGGTTGCTATGTCTGATGATGGGACACCATCAGCATCATCAAAGACACAGGACTACCAGGAATGGGCACGCCGAGTAGTTGTTATGTTCTGGCAGGGGGTCGAGGCCCGGCGCGAAAAGGGACTGCCGGGCCTGAAAAGGGAGAGTCTAGAGGAAGTTTTGGCGAAGGGACCCCGCAGACGGAATTTTTGGTCTCCCTATCTTCTCTCAAAGCATGGAAATATTAGCAAGCACAAGGTCAAAGCTGGCTAGGGAAAATCTTCCAGCCATAATAGATTAAGACCTACGGTTGGATCCCTAGCCTGTATGATCTAAGCAGCGTGAATGGCAATGAAATATGGAACAATATATGCATGTGGTATTAATATACATGGATCACATCAAGCTCGTCCGTCCTCCAATTTCTTGGCTGCCCTCGCCGTTGGGCATCTCACCGTTCCGTCCGAAGATGAACTCCCGGTAAATACCTTCCAAGCGGCGTCTTTCAGCTGGACTGAGGGAGCTACGCGTAGTGTTCAGAGAACGTTCCATGTGCTCCCACCGCACGATGATCTCCTCGCGCGGTTCCTCGTGCGCGGTCCCGTTGGGTACTGCGGTCTGAGTGTTGTTTGCTGTGCCTTGCTCCGACTGTCGCTGGCGTCGTCGTGCGCTCTTGATTGCGTCGAGCTTAGACGCGACAACAGCTGGAGAAGGCATCGATACCTTTCCGGCCTCCTGCTCGGAGGCGGAGTAAAGGAACTGGATGAATGACTTGGTGCTGGTGGCTGTTGATGAGGACTTGGTGCCATTCTTGGCCGTGGACTTGTCGTTTACGGAGTGGTCGCCCAGGGCATCGTGGACTGCCTCAAGATGGGCGTTGTATACGACAGCTTGCAGATCAGCTCCGGAGAAGCCCTCTGTACGGGTGGCCACTTCGTCCAGACGAGCAGCGACTTCCTCGTTCATTGCGAGCTTCTCGCTCACTGCTCGGATTATGTCGAGTCGGTCTGCGTGGTTGGGCATGTCGCAGATCAAAGACTTGTCGAGACGTCCTGGTCGGAGCAGTGCGGGATCGATGAGGTCTGGTCGGGATGTAGCTGCAAGGACGTACACTCCGGAGAGACCTTCGGCACCATCCATTTGTGTTAGAAGCTGGTTGACAACGCGATCGGTGACACCTGTAGAGTCGTGTCCACGCTTAGGTGCGATACTGTCGAACTCATCGAAGAAGAGGATACATGGTCGAGCAGCTTGCGCCCGTTCGAAAAGATCTCGGACACTCTTCTCACTCGCACCGATATACTTGTTCAAGATTTCAGGACCCTTGACGGAGATGAAGTTCAGGCCACACTCTCCGGCTACCGCACTGGCGAGCAATGTCTTTCCACATCCAGGGTATCCGTAAAGTAGCAGACCTGAGCGCAGACGCAAAGGACATTGTGCGAAGATAGGCGCGTACTTGGTGGGATACTGCAACGTCTCGAGGAGCATTTTACGAGTCTCCGTCAACCCACCGATGCCTGCAAAGGTCGTAGTAGACGAGGTGAGCGTAACGTTTCGAAGAGACGCGGGAGTAAAGCCCTTTATAGCGTTTTCGAAATCATCTGCCCCAAGCGTGATGGCTCTCGACGATGATGACATATCCTGAACAGAGCGAATAAGAGCCTCGTTTCGCGCGCGGGAGACTAGAAGGACCATATCGCCGGGCATGTACCCGTCTGTCTTGCCAGCAAGTTCCAAGAAATCCACATCCCTACCAAGCACGAACCCGTCAGCACCGGCTGAGCTGGGACGACTTCCTGGATTGGAAGGGTTTAGCCAGGAGTCTTGCGTAGAGGAACTGGAGTTCCGTGCATGACCGTTCAACGCAGGTGGGACACCCCTGTCCTGGCTGGTAAGTTGCTCCAGCACCTTCCGGCGACCTTCCTTGTCCGTAGCTCTCAAGTGGATAATCTCTCGGACAACGTGACCTCCGATAATGACATTGTTCAAGGACTCTTTCGACTGGGCCGTAGCCAGCAGAACCACCGAAGAGTTCATGGTGCAATACTCGCGCACCATCGAGCAGATTACTTCACTGTTCTGGCGGCTGCGGCCATTGTCCCCTCCAACCTGAAGCTCTGTCTCGACAGGACACAGCTTGTCAAGATCATCCAGAATCACAAGCGACTGTCCGCCAAGACGTGCGCACCAGGAAGCGGACATGAAAAGGCGGTTCAGCGTTTCTTTGATGTTTGAAATCCGGGTCTCGTCGGTAACCAGTTTCCGACAAGAGAAATACTTTACGTTGAACAGATAGTCCGTCCGCACACAGTGAGCTAGTAGATGGCTCAAAGCTGTCTTTCCAGACCCCAGACCGCCTGTGAGTAAGATAGAGGAGGATTTGGTCAGGTTATCGATAGACTGAGAAATAATGCGGTCGATCCCGACCAGTTCAGGAATAGTAAGCGGTATTGCGTCCTCAGATGGATGGGCGGAGGAGCTTGATTCCGCTGGACGGGGTATTTCAGCCTGCACTTCCAGCGACAGCTTAGCATCTGATCCCAAGAGCCAGTTTGTTGCTGGTTTTGCCGTTTCGGAACCATTCTTCAGCGGAGGGTCAAATCGGAGAATAGCACCGTCGAAACTGGGTCCTGTTGCCTGGTAGTCTGTATTTGGCAAAACCATCCCATCAGTCAAGGGCCCTGCTAGTAGCCCCTTATCCGATCCAGTACTCCCATAGATCATCTTGATACGCTCTGCCAATGCATCTCTCGCTGCCGCAGTATCGGACCCGAATTTCAATCCATCTTTCTTCTTTGTCGTATCAGCCATAAAAGGATGTATCTTGAGCGTTTTCACCGTGGACCGCTGTAGCGGCGGAGGGGCCGCCTCGACTCGAATAATACCACCCACCATACCCTCAGCACCGAGAGCAGCAGACAACAGAGTGGATACTGCAATATGCTGAGTGTCCGGAGCATCAGTCCACGGGATCAACCTTGCAACCAGCTTGGCCGCCGGTGTTCCGGCATCGCTACCTTTTTGTTCCGTTTGTTCTACCTGTTGCTGCGGGTCGGGTGGCGCCTTCAGGCCAGCAGGCTGGACAACCGAAATGCAAGCCCATCCTGCACCCCGAAGCTCGTTGGCGGCAAGCATGTCCGGATCAAGCCAAACACGGAACCCATCATTGTTGTCTTCCTCTGCCTCTTCATCAAAGTACTGCTCCGACAGTTGGCGGTCGATTCCCCGGAAGAAGAGGGAGCCCCTGCTCGTCGAGTCAGATCGACTGCCCTTTGCCCGGGCGGTGCTTCCACTACTCCGTCCCCCAACACTTCTTCTGCTGCTTCCAGTGACACTCCGGCTATCTCCCCGGGCGCCTCTGTTGGCCTTCGGACGAGTCTTCGGAGCAACAATGACTTCCGCATCTGGCGCTATCTTCGCGAAGGGCGAGGTATTTGGGGGAGCAGGAGTCAAAGATGTGATGACAATGTTGGCCGTGGATGTTGGAGATAAATGCAATGCAAGAGGGTGCATGTGATCAGGTTGAGGCGTCGTGTATGTGGGGTTGGGGAGAGCTCGGATCTGCGACAGAAGGTTAAGCTCGAGGAAGGTCGCGTGAAGCTCAATAACTGCAAATGATTAGACGAGCCGGTAAATCATAGAAGGGGACCCAAAACATACTCTCCCAATCTTCCGGAGTCAGAGGTTCAATATTAATGGTATGCGCAACGGGTGGATCAAGATGGATGTATATCCCGACCTAGGCGCATTAGCATCTGAGGGTCCTCGTCGCGACCGGCACACTTACCCTTTGGCCATCAGCAAGACCCAAGAGTCGCCCAAATGTTGTGTCCAGCTCTACAGTAGAGATGTCCTGCTCCCTGGCGGCAGAAGCACTGCTGATACCGTCCCTTCCCACGACGGGAGCCAGCTTCCGCTTACTCGGCATTCCAGTCCATCCCAGATAGCATGACCGCTGCGCGGGGTTGCCATTGGCCTTTCCCGTAGTTTGGCGATATTGTAGTTCGACAATTACATTTTGTGCAGCCTATTTTCATGTCAGCTGGGCTAGATTATCACCGTGCTCTGTTCAGGTGGAATGACTAGCTTACAGTATTGGCATTGACCAGCAGTGCGACCAGCGACGGTGGCAGGTTTACAAGACAGTTCTTCAAAGGTACCAGGGAAACTTCCGCGGTGGTGGAGGGCTTTCGGGGCGCCATTCTCAGGCGCAGGATCGCAAGCTCGTGCGGTCAGCGAACACAGCGAAAGAATTGGAGTCGGGGATCGGGAGATCTTGGGGAGAATGAGAGAAGACCAGACCTCAGCATCTCCCCGGACTCATTAGACTCGCATTGACTCCGCAAACCAACCAGATGCCGTTGGCCGAGGTGGCCCGCCGCCGATGTTCGGGCCGAGAGTTGTTCCTCTCCGAGAGCACGTGCTACACTGACCAATCTACGCTAGACCCGAACTGGCAATAAAGTAGAAATGGCATGAAAGACGCGAAATCGACGCGTTTCGCGACGTGTTGCTGCGGCAGCCGAAAAAGGCAATCCGCCAACTGGGAAGAAACTCCGCCAAGGGACGCTTTGGCCGAACCGCCGCCTTTCTTTTACCTTCTCGGCCCCAGGCAGTTTTAGCACCATCACAAACCCGCTTCATCGCCAGCTGTTGGTCAATTGAACTGGCTTGTTGCCCTACAGCATCATGGCTTTGAACGCTTACACCCTTAACGTCAACTACGAAGCGCAGCTCGATGCCTTCAAGGATTTTCTCAAGCACTTCAAAAGTTTTGAGTCTGCTTCGGAATCGGCTGCGACAGAAGCCATTGAAGACCTTCGCATTGACGAGGATGGCACAAGCGATGAATACGACTTTATGGATGATGTCGCCCAGGAGGGCAGCGCACAGCGCGCTGGTCGCAGACGTCGGGAGCCTAAGCTCAAATACATGCAGGTATTGCAGGAGGTCGCTGACCGGGAGCGCACAAACATTCTGATTGAGCTGGACGATCTCGCTACTGTGAGTGCTTCCTTATTGCGACTGATCTCCCGACCAAGACTGACCTGCTACAGTATGAGAAAGGCCTTTCGGATGACGTGGACCTGCGGCTTGTTGAATCCGTGCAGAAGAACACCTACCATTATATCGATCTTTTCTCTCGTGCGGTTGATGACTTGATGCCGAAGGAAAGCAAGGAGATCACGTAGGTCGAAAATACTATCCTTTGGGGCTTAAAGCTAATCGCGCACAGTTTCAAGGATGATGTACTCGATGTCATCATGTCGCAGCGTGAAAAGCGCAACGAGGCCATGAACATGGCTGCAGAGGCCAATGCCGACGCCGATGCCGCCCAGTCTATCTTTCCACCCGAGCTGACACGCCGGTACACCATGAACTTCAAGCCCCTCACCCCTTCCGGCTCGAGCAGCGACCGCCAATCCAAGGCCCTTGCAGTGCGCAACGTCCGCGCAGAGCACATTGGTGGCTTGATCACCGTTCGGGGTATTACAACCCGTGTCTCGGATGTCAAGCCAGCTGTTGAAATCAACGCCTACACTTGTGATCGCTGTGGATGTGAAGTGTTCCAGCCGGTTACTACGAAGCAGTTCCTTCCTATGTCCGAATGTGTGTCCGAAGAATGCAGGACGAACAACTCCAAGGGGCAGCTGTTCCTCTCCACTCGCGCTTCCAAATTCGTTCCTTTCCAAGAGGTCAAGATCCAAGAAATGGCCGATCAGGTGCCTGTTGGCCATATCCCGCGAACCATGACTATCCACTGCCATGGAAGTCTCACACGCCAGCTCAACCCGGGAGATGTTGTTGACATCGCAGGAATCTTCCTCCCCACGCCTTACACCGGTTTCAGAGCCATACGTGCGGGCTTGCTGACTGATACTTACATGGAAGCCCAGCATATCACGCAGCACAAGAAGTCATACAACGACACGGCCATGGACAGCCGAACTCTCCGCAAGATCGACCAGTACCAGAAGTCCGGAAATATGTACGAGTACTTGTCGCGATCAATTGCCCCTGAGATCTACGGACACCTTGATGTGAAGAAGGCACTGCTTTTGCTCCTGATTGGTGGTGTGACGAAAGAGATGGGCGACGGCCTGCACATTCGTGGTGACATCAACATCTGCCTCATGGGTGACCCTGGTGTTGCCAAGTCCCAGCTGTTGAAGTATATTGCCAAGGTTGCCCCTCGTGGTGTGTACACAACCGGTCGAGGAAGCAGTGGTGTTGGTCTCACTGCCGCTGTTATGCGGGACCCGGTGACAGATGAGATGGTTCTGGAGGGAGGTGCCCTGGTCCTGGCAGACAACGGTATCTGCTGTATCGATGAATTCGATAAGATGGATGACTCGGATCGTACGGCCATTCACGAAGTGATGGAACAGCAAACCATTTCCATCTCCAAGGCGGGAATCACGACCACCCTCAACGCTCGTACCTCTATCCTGGCAGCAGCCAACCCGCTTTACGGCCGTTACAACCCCCGAGTCTCCCCAGTTGAGAACATCAACCTTCCCGCGGCTCTCCTTTCGCGTTTCGATGTCATGTTCCTTATTCTCGATACCCCTTCGCGCGAAGCAGACGAGGAGCTGGCTAGCCACGTCACCTATGTCCACATGCACAACAAGCACCCTGAGCACGAGGATGCCGGCGTTATGTTCACGCCTCAGGAAGTCCGCCAGTACATTGCTAAGGCGCGTACCTTCCGTCCTGTTGTTCCCTCCGCTGTGTCCGATTACATGGTCGGAGCCTATGTAAGAATGAGGAAGCAGCAGAAGAAGGACGAGGCAGAGAAGAAGCAGTTCTCCCATGTGACGCCCCGTACGCTTCTCGGTGTTGTTCGTCTGTCGCAGGCCTTGGCGCGTCTCCGATTCAGCAACGAAGTTGTCACCGAGGATGTCGACGAGGCCCTGCGCCTGGTCGAGGTCAGCAAGGCTTCGCTGGCCAACGACGGCCAGTCAAGCTTGGACCAGAGCCCCACCAGCAAGATCTACTACCTCATCCGCAGCATGATGGAGAGTGGTGCTGCGGCTGTGGGCGATGGAGACGGAAGCGAATTGAGCATGAGGAGAATCCGGGAGAGAGTACTTGCCAAGGGATTCACGGAGGACCAGCTCAACGTGACGATTGACGAGTATGAGCATAACAACGTAAGTTCATCTGCTTTATACTACGTCTATATGAGCATCTGCTAATCATTCTATCTTATAGGTCTGGCAAGTTCTGGGCGGTGGTACCCGTCTCGTCTTTGTTGATGCTATGGACATGTAAACGGCTATTACTTAATTTAGCACGAGTCTGCAGTCATACGTTCCTGCTATCTTTCATCGATTATTTTTTAACTATTTTTCTTCATCCGAGAGACGTGCACGAGGCCATGTGAGATTCCTGTGGGAGGGTAGAACCCGGACCGGTGTTTGGTGTTTATTTCTTGATATCATCACAACTAAATGAATGGCATTGAATAATCAAGCAGTACAACATGCATCATATATCTAGTAAAGAGTGTAGTAGTACCCAAGTTGCAAACAATTCTCCAACACGAACACATCACCCAAATCCCTTCCTCCCCAAACCCCCCCAACTATCACACCCTCCCATTTCCCACCCAAACCTTCCACCTCCTCCAAAATGAATTCAATATCTCAAACCCCACACTGTCCATAAATCGGCACCTCAGAACACAACTGCGCACTCGCTCCATACGGATTATCGCACAGAGTATCACACTGGGTATATTCAGGCGTGAAGACCAGAAACTGATAGCCGGGGACATTCAAGCGGAACTGTTTAGTGATGTCGTTGTTCTGGTGGGAGGCTTTGTATCCCGCACGACAGGCGCAGTGGAAGCGCGTGCCGGTGTTGATGCATGAGGTTGTCACGTCGCAGTGGTTTTCGCCTGAGAGGGGGTTGCAGGTTCCGCATGTTGGGGGGGATGCTGGGGATGCGGATTGGGGAGCTGGAGCTGCAGCTGGGTTGGGGGAGGCGAGGGTTAGGGTGGTGGTGGTGGCTAGGAGGAAGGTGAGGGTGGTTGAGAAGTACATGTTGAGGTGTGGGTTTTGGATGTGCTGGTAACTATATTGGTAATGATAGTGGAGTTGATTTGAGGTTTTGATGGTGTGGATGAGAGGGGATGGGAGGGGATTTTATATCCATCTTCTAGTTATCTACCTAACTATCTGGAAGAAAGTAGATGTATAGTTAGTATGGACTAAAACTTGAAATAGAGTATTTAAACAAGTCTACTTCGTATAGATCTGACCATATCATCTGGGATCCTCGTTGCCGAAGGACGGAAAACATGGTGGCTGGTATCTCACTATCGCGACTACGACGTCACGAGGGATAACATCCAAGATTAGCTCAGTATGCGGTGATGGTTTGGTTTCTCTGAGACATACCAGGACATCGAAAATAGACCATTAAGCTCCCTGTTATATGGGCTGTGCCGGTGGTGGAGGGCGAATACGAGACAGCCCTGCGGACCCAGCATTGACGGGAGGCGATTGTTGCTTTCTTTAGCAAGGTTGGAAGTATGGATTCCCTCACTACGGATGGGTCAGAGTTATCTGGGAGATGAGTTGTGCTATTTTGAAAGGGTCTCATTCTTTTAGTTTTGATATCGCTCACGGTCAAGTGAGTGACAGGGCTAGTCTGGCAACAAGGACGTCATGTATGTGAAAATCTTCGATAGTGGAGGTCAAAGACAGGGTCTATGGTTTGGATGTCCGTTTGGTGGAGGCTGTGATGTTTCAGTTGGGCCAAATTGACTATTGAACGTTTATTATCAAGAGAGTCGAACTGTCCAAGATCGTAGAGTGTCGCATATACATTCATCCTATCTCGTGACATCCGAACATAAGACAATGGTTACCTTTTGATGTCTACCAGAGCATAAGCGGTGTAGATGTGACTGTTCGATCGGGCAATTTATCTAGTGTTCATATAGTAGGGTTAATGCCATCACTATGGCAAAAGCAACCCTTGGTGCTATTATCTGCTGACCGCTGTTGCAGAAGATACTCGCATCCAATGCTGGATCAACCTTGGAGAAAAGAAGTCACGGGCCCAATGCGACAGCAGAGATAGTAAAAGTGTGTGGTATGTCTCTAGACAAAGAACTTCCACTACCTAGTAGATATACTTTAAACCTATAAATAACCTTTCATTATGTCATTCCTATACATCTCGACACGAACATTCCGATCACTTCGTAAATAAACCCTACAAGCGCATTTTCGACGCCTCTGGTTCCCCAATCAGCTGCAGGAAGCTTTCATGGACCTCATCGGTGAGATCGCTAGCCTGCATACTCCGTCCCTTGGCCAAAAAAGCACGACGAGAGCACTCCCTCGTGATACTGCTTCCCGCGAACGCCGCAAGAAGCAATGTCGTGGCAGGGGACATCCTCTTGTTCTCGGACTCTAGCTCCGCCTGAACATCTTGCTTGGTCTCAGCCTCCTTCTTGTTGTCCTGCTCTCCCGAATCCCATAGTCCGTTATGGTAAGCCGCCCTCCAGGCCAAGAGGGTGCCCAGCGAGCCAGTAAGCGTATCTCCCTGGCCACCACTCCGCTTCAGTCCGCCCTGAATGTCGGAGACAATGCTGGTGACACCATTTGAGATAATATCATGAGGACCCTTCTGAATGATAGTAACGCCACCCAGAGCCTGAGAAAGCTGTTCACAAGCCCTAGTCTCCTCGCTAGTCTTGTCGCCGCCGCCAGACTTGGAGCCAATCTCGGCCTGACTGGGGACGTCAATGCCCAGGGCCTTCGCCAGACGACTGAACTCATTAACATTAGGTGTGAGAATGCACTCCTTGTAGCCCTTCACTAGATCCGGGTCCTCCGTGACAAGGAGCAGACCGTCCGCATCCAGTACAAACGGTATCGATCGGGACCGCGCTTCCTTCATCACCTCCGTGACCACCTTGAGTGTGACTCCGTCGCGACCTAGACCCGGTCCAATAACTAGGCAATGGAGGCGGGAAAGCATGGAGATGATGGGACTAGCGAGTGACGGGGCGTCAATAGACTCGGGATCTTTGACGTTGTCGCTGCTTGGCAGTATCGGGTGAACCATAAGGTTCGGAGAATAAGTTTTGATGACCTAGCCACGGTCAATGACAACAGACATGCTTGAGTCTAGCAGACTGCAAACTTACAACTGCAGCAGACTTGTCACAAATTACGTGACTCTGTGATCTGTCAGAAAGTGTATACAGCGGCTAACGTTCTGGTGAACAGCCTACCATATCGCATCCTGCAATGCCATGTCAGCTAAAAGCTAGCTATACTAGCATTGAATAAGTATCTTACCCAGTCTAGCCGACGCCATTGAAGAGAAGTAGGGAGCCCCTGTGTAACTTGGACACGTTCACAATCCGTTCGCATGAAGAGGAGCGGGGTGAACATACTCTATACTTCCTCCGATGACAGCAACACGTCCCTGTTGTCCTTTGATCTGTCAGAAGAAAATTCGTAAAGTGAAACACTGAACTGTAATGTCAAAGCCCACCTTTGTGGAATTTCTCAAGCATCGGAGGCACCAGATTGCGCGCCTTCTTCAGCAAAACCTTGGACGAGGTTGTAATGTGATGAACCGACGACTCCATGATGGCGAGCGAAATAGCGACCGATCAGTATGCTGAATCTGTAACTGTAGAATGGTATACTATGCGTTCTATAATAAAGAGCAGATCGACTGTGTAGCAATTGAAGAGAGAAGTAGTAAGTAGAGAGAAGAAGCAGCAGCAGCTGTAGGAGCAGAAGGAAGAGTGATGTCACCGCCTACGGGTGGGGCAGATGGGGTCATTTCTCGATAAGAATCCGGTCTTGATTGCTTTGCTCAATCCTTACTATATATTAATCACATTACCAGCAATGACGATGAGAGTGGTCAATATTTGCAGCTATCCAATCGCAATCAATGCTACCACGAGAACAGTGACAGTAACAGACACGCCCGCTATTGTATGTAACTAGCAATGTTAATATGTGAAGTGAAAATGAAGATAATCGCCCTCCATCTATCGACACCTTGACGCTCGCTGATGCTCATCCAAAATTGGTACAGAAATGAACAAATGAAAACAGAGAAGACCAGTAACGTCGTATGTAACGCACCCTCGGGGTATTCCTCGCTGATGCTCCGTATCCAAACAAGAAAACAATGAAAACAGAAGGGGAAATCCAAGAAATTTGTGTGAGTCCGGGTAAGTCGGCTTGCAGGGCTAGCAAAAAGCTTGATTAGGTAGGTATATCGTGGAAGCAAAGGACTTCTTCTTATCGTCGCGATGCCAACGAAGCGAGCTTCTTGCGACGCTCCAGTTTCTGCTGCTTGGCGGCAAGCTCTGCGCGCCATTCCTCCTCATCTTCCCGTCGGGCGGCCGCCAGTGCAGCAGCCTCCTCTTCCTCCACATCGTACAAGCCCGCCTCCATATCGGAGGATTCTGAATAGTAGTCGTCGTGGTCATCGGCATAATCACCCTCGTCTTCCTCATCAGTTCCCAGGTATTCATCCATCCGAGGCTTGGAACGAGACTGTGCTTTCCGGTCGCCAAGTGTTTTGCGTGGTGGCAGACCGGCGGTTCCTCGGTATTCGGGCTGGCCTGTAGACGGAGGCGGTCTTGCGGTTCCTTTGTAGGATAATGGCTCGGGTTCCCTCTTCTTGACGACCTTGCCGTCACCGGATTTCGTGCCTGCAGCTCCACCAGTAGTAACGCCTGCCTTCTTGGCCGACCGCACATCTTTGTCCTTGGTCTGCGCCTCCACTGCCTTCTTCTTGCGTTCGACTTTGCTGAGCTTCTCCTTGGGGGCAGATTGGTGTTTGAACATGCCAACTTGAGTCGGGGCCTTCTCTTGTAGTGCTTTAGCCTTGGCCATGAGATCCGCAAAGGAGCCTTTAGGGGGAGGCTTCGATGACACTGGAGGCGCCTTCTGCTGGGGGGTTGAAGAGCGGCTCTTGACTGCAGTGGTCGCTGTTGTAGAAGGCGCGCTCGGACGAGGTCTAGGAGCTGTAGATACGGTAGACTTCGCCGTGGTAGTGGTATTGGTTGTTGATGATGTTGCTGTCGCCCTGGTAGGTGCTGGAGTAACAGATTTTGCAGGACGAGCTAGCTGCTCCTCGGCCTTTCGCTTGATTCCAGAAACCAGAGGTTTGCGCTCTGAAGCGCCATCTCGAGAGACGTTAACCGGTTTGCGGACCTCGGTCTTAGCATTTGAAGAGGTTACAGGAGGCGACGGTGAGGCAGAGGTGGGGGGGATTGGAGACGGTTTACCCGTCTCGATAGACGAAAGAACGGAATCGAGAAACTGTCGTATGATCAGCAAAAGCCATCAAACAGCAACCATCCATAGAGACCTTACACTCATTTTGTCACCTCTTAGGCAAAGAAAGCGCCAAAAGCTATCGAATATGAGTAGTAACGAAGGGGGGTAGTTTCACCGTCGGTGGTTAGTATGACGGGGTACCTTCATGACTTGTTGCGGAACCACTAAAAATCGATCGTTTTCAGATTAGAGATAAGCCAAATTCACGTCTTAGTGCCAGGCATAAAGCACGACGTGAATTAAGGCCCAAAGCCGATGCCAACAAAGCGATAGCTGGATACAACGAGGTCGACCAGATAAAGCCGCCGGGCAAAAACGGTGCAAGAAGTCGCCATCCTGTCTTCTAGAAGCAGCGACCCCACGTGACCGGGGCCCAAGGCATGGGAGTTACCGCATGCGCCACGCCCGCTCGCTTAGCCGGAACTAGCACGATCTGCACTAGCCACAACCCACCAGCCGCATCGCACTTTTCTTGATTTTCAACTTCGGATTCCATTTCTCTCTTTTTCCGTCCATCACATCGCTCAACCCCCAGCGAACTCGACGTGTCAGTCTCCGCCCAACTTTGCGGTTAAATCGATTGATTCTCGTGTTCACCACCACAACTGTACGTTGCCCTCTTGATTGCTTCGTTGCGCATTTTCGACAGTACGACCACGATATTCCCGGCGCAGTTGTTCTGACAGGTTATTGTGCAGATTCAAAATGAAGTACCTCGCTGCCTACCTTCTGTTGGCCCTTGCTGGCAACAACACCCCCTCCGCTGAGGACATCAAGTCCGTCCTCTCCGCCGTCGGCATCGACGCTGAGGAGGAGCGCCTCCAGAAGCTCCTTGCTGAGCTCGAGGGCAAGGACCTCCAGGAGGTTAGTTAACGCCCATATAAATTTTACCAAGAATTGCGATTCACGAGATGGAATACTGACAATGATTTTTCAACTACAACAGCTCATCTCCGAGGGTTCCCAGAAGCT